GGGGGGGGGGGGGGGGGGGGCGGGGGGGGGGGGGGGGGGGGGGGGGGGGGGGGGGGGGGGGGGGGGGGGCGGTGGTGGTGGCAGGGCAGGCTGTCCTCAGGCTGAGCTGCAGTGGCCCTGGCAGCCGTGTTCTCTCCCCCCAGCTCCTCACCTGAGGCTCCCAGGCCTATCTCCACACCACCTCTCTGGAATTCACAGCGGCTCTGATGCTCTGGCATAACGAGGTGGCGGCTTCGATGGACACTGGATATGAGGGTGGGCAGGTCACTGTCCTGGCTGCAGCAAGCAAGACAATGAAGGTGAGACCCCCAAAGGCTGCGTGCCCAGCCCTGGGCACAGCAAGTACCCGACTAAGCTCGAGTGTGGGCATGCATAGTGCCAGACAGCAAGTGTGCCATGCCTCCTGCCCACCTCTGTGTGTGGTCTGTGACAGCACATATGCAGGCATCCCCATAGCAGGGCCCAGGGGAAACATCTAGTGGGTGTGACCTACCTAGGTCTCACCCAGGACCACTAGGACCTGCCAGGCTTCTGCCTGGCATGGGGCCTTACACTCAGGCCCCACCGCAGCTCCCAGGGAGGGTGTGTGCAGGGCACGGGAACCCAGCTCAGTCTTGCCATGCTCTCCCCATAGTGACCAGAGCAATCGCCTGACAAGGGGGTGTCTGCTCATGAGGAACAGTGACCAGAGAGGACTCACACTGTCGCACATGCATCTAGCGCTTACTCCTATGTTAGCTGCTTCATTAAGAAAATCGCATGCACTCTTTCAGCTAAAGCTTGCAACCACGCACAGACTCTCAATTTCTTCAAATAACGACACCAAGGTTCAGACCGAAGTCCTGTAGCTTGAGATGTGTGCACACACAGGCACACACATACGCTCTCAAAAGGACTGGGAAGAACACGCATCTACACACGCACACAGGCACGCAGACACACAACATGAATGGGGGTCTGGTTCCCCCCCCCCCGCCACCGTGTGCTCATGACACTCTGCTCTCCCCAGGCCCCCAACTAAGAACCTCAGCCGCCAGGCATGTGTGGGCCTGGAAAAAACATGTCTTTAACTCTTTTGTTCCCTTATTTCTCTTTCTGCTAATGCAGCTCAACCCTACACCAGAGTGCCAGAGAAAGGGTGGAGTGAGAAAATGTCAGTGTGACCGTGTGTGAACGGCCCCCCAGCTGCTCCTGGTGTTCTTAGCATAGAGAAGAGTCACCTGCCACCTTACAGATGCCGCCTGGAGCAGCAGGAAGTCAAGACAGAAGAGAGGAGCAGGGAGGGCCCTGGGCACCCCACCCTCCCCAATACCCTTGCTCCCTGGCCCACCTGTAATAGAGCAGCCTCCCAGCTGGGCCGCTGCAAGGGGGCCTCCACGGAGTGACCTGGGAACCGACCCTAAACCTCATTAAATAGCCCCCAGCCCCCCTGGCCTGGGCGGCTGGAGCAGGCTAATCCAGGCTGGCCCCTAAGCAGATCAGTTTCAGCCCCAAAGACTCCAGGGCTGGGATCTAGAGCCTTCTGGGAGACCCAGATGCGGGTTCTCTCCCCACCCCCACCCCCTCTCCCAGGAGGAGAGAAGGTGCCCCCCCATGCAAAGAGGAGGGGAGGTGGGGTGGGAGTAAGTACTTTATGGGATTAATTGGCAGCCATTCTCATCCCTCTATCATCCTCATCAATGCGAGGGTGTTGAGGAGAGAAGTGCTGTCCTCAGCACTAGGGAGGGGATGGGGGGGTGGCTAGAGGCTGCCTCTGAGTTCTCCCCTGAGGGGATCCAATTCTGGTGTCCCCAGGACTCCTACAGGAAGTGGATCACCCCGGAAACTGAGTAGGTGAGGAAAGGCCTCATCAGTTTGTTCCCCATGAACCCTTAGACCAGCACCCACACAGGGACCTGGGACTATACCCCCCGGCTCACCACCACCACCATGGCCATCAGCTCTTTCACTCAGCGGTCAGTCATTCAGGCACTCAGGTTGTGCTGTGGCACCACGGAGCTGAGGCCTGGTGGGAATCAGGTCACCACTGCCCACCACACCCTTGCTCTGCTCTCTGCCTGGGGGGTTCACCCCACAGGCCCCAAGACAGCCTGGCCTGGCTCTGGAAAACATGTTCTGGTCACTCACTGAACAAATTATGCCAGGTTTTACATAAAAAACTACAAAGAAACACCAGGCTGAAAATGCATAAACTCTGCATTTGGCATCCCAAGTATGAGGTTCCCACAGCCCTGAAAACAGGGTCTGCACCGTGCTGTGCATGAGGGACCAAGCCCACGAGGGTTCTTGGGAGGCTCTCTGTAGCACCATGGGGTGGGGCTGTGTATCAGGAGGTGAGGAGGAGAGCATGAGTGACAGAAGGGGCTGCAGGGAGGAGGGTGTGTGCTAGGAGGTTGAGGGAGAAGGGTCTGGCCCCTCCGACCCCAACTCTCCCTGAGGAGCACCCTGGGCTCCTCCGAGCTCCCTCAGCCGACTCTCATACTGTCCAGTGTTTGCCCATATCCTGGCCAGCTCAGGGGCCCCAGGAGGGCAGGGACCACATCTCCAGCCAGCTGCCTGGGGTGCATGGGTGCTGAAGCAGGAGCTCCAAGCAGGCAAGTGGGCCAATGGATGGAACTCATGGACAGATGGAGGGACAGACAGGTGAAGGCCAATGGATGGAGGAAGAGGGACAAACAGAAAGTGAGAGATGCTGACAGATGAACAGACAGGTACTACTGAATGGATGGACACAGCGACAGAAGGGGTGGGAATAACAGAGAGATAAATGGCTAAAGAACAGACAGGAGACTAGAAATGCAGGAGGGACAGGGCCCAAAGGATCCAGAAAGAGACAAGCCAGGCTGTCTGCCTGCTGCAGCCTCCTGGGCCTGATGCCGAGGCGCCGCATCAGCAGGTGGGGGGCAGATAGGCTGTAAGTCCTCTTGGCTATGCTACACCCCTGCCCCCAGACGGCAGTCTCCTCTCTGGTAAAATCCAGAAAGTCATCCCAGACACCCCTAGGGCCGGTGCAGGACCGAAGGAGCCCACATGCACTTGGACTTGGCCCCTTACTGGGGTCTCCCTCCGTCTGGACACCTGGGACCTTCTCTCACTTTACAAGGCCAGGGGTGGGCGAGGAAAGGGCTACCGGAGGCAGGAGGAGTCATTCCAGGAGTGGAGGAACCTCCCTTGGGTTCGCTATAAGCTTCACTGACAAATTCATCCTGTAGCTTCCCAAGCAAAAGGCTCATAAAATGTCATCAATGTTCATAACAGTTCATAAAAATGATCAGTTGAGCAGGCAACTTCAAAATGAGGTAGAAATAAGTTTAAAGATGTTTTCACTGTAATTCGGCTCTAGGACCCAGATATTTTCAGAGATGTAAATAATAATACATATGGCACAGAGCCAGGCTGGGAGTGGGGAAGACAAGCTCCCACCTTGGGGGGCTGGCCCCTCAGCTTTGGCTGAGGAAGCGGGGCTGTGCTGGAAGCCCTGTGGTAAGACTTGAGCCCACTGACCAGAAGCCACAGCCTGGGCTCCATTCACAGACTGACCATCCTTTGCTCATCTGGAATCTAGAACTTGGGTCTCCCCAGGGCCCTCCCAACTTCCTCATCAGGTCCCCTCATTTTTATCTCCTTGCTATGTCTTGGGTCCGCCACCGCCCTGCCTTCCATCATGCTTCCACAGCCTGAACCACTGCAGACTGGAGCAAACCTCCAACCTCAAACCTCCAAACCTTCTGGCCTCCAGAAGGACCCCATCAAAACACACACTCTGTCACCCCTCTGCTCAAGAACTTCGGGTGGCTCCTCACCGCCTGGAGCACCGTGTCCTACAGGCTCAGCACCCAGAGTCCTTTAGCATTCAGTTGGACCAGACCTGCCAGCCCCCCACACCCCCACACCCCCTGCCCTTGTTCTTGCAGACATCCTCGTTCCCTAGTGAACACCTCTGCACCCTGAGACCCCACGCACACATCACCATTCTCATCGGCAGGTGGGTCTTCGGGAGGGTGGGAGGGAGAGGTCGTGGCCTCATCTTTGGGCAGATCGACTCAAATGGCCAGTCCCATGTGGGAGGGTTAGGCTGCCCAGAACCCACACCTGTGCTGCTGTCAGGACCTGGGCACAAACTGACCGACTGACAGACCACAGAATAGGGAGGGGAGGGAAGGAGGGAGGGCTGGAAAGATTTAGAAGCAGACCCGGGGGAAATGGAGCAGCAGGGCTCCATCCTGCCCACGCACGGTGTGTGGGGACAAGCCCGGACCCTACCTGCAGGACGTCTCTCGGAAGGAGATGTTCACGTCCCAGTGGGTGTGGACTCTGCAAGGAAAGAAGCGGAGGGTCAAAGTGGCCTCCAAGATCTGGTACCTGAACAGCAGGGTGTGTGTATGGCATAGCCCTCATCTGCCCCAGAGCGCTGGCCCCAAGGGAACTGGGTTGGCTCAGATTTGTCTCCAGTGCTATCTGGTACCAGCTCACCCAGCCAGTGGCTGCCACCAGGATAGAACCGTGGGGCAGGAGCCAAGTCCTGGTCTCAGCAGACAAAGGAATCGGGAAGGACAGAATTGAGCCTGCCACACCCCTCCTTCTTATTGCAGTGAACGCAGAAGAGCTGCCACGTTGTGCTAGGGTGGGGGAGCTACAGCCTCTTCTGCCCAACAGCCGTGCAACTGAACCAAACTCCTAGTTGCTAGAGCTGCTCCAGCCAGGCTGGAACAGGTCAGGGAGCAAGCCCCGTGGCCACTACCGGCACCAATGGCCCAGTGTCAGCCCAGGTGGGTGCAGCTTCCTGGGTCCCAGCTGCTACCAGTCTGCCTCCTGAAAGCGACCACTGCACATTGTAGGTAGGAGGGATGCCAAAACGAGAGGTCAGGTGAGGAAAGAGCTCTGCCCCGCGCCTGTCCCCTCACGCACAGCAGTGTTCCCGGAAAGACCCTCAGGCTGAGGGATGGTGGTTGGAAGACTGTGTGGGTGTGTCACCTTAGCAAGCGTGGGTATGAGGGCTGGGAAGGGGGGTGTTGGGGCTTGGGAGGGTTATTTTAGGGTAGGAGAAGTTGGAACACGTTGAAAGACTAGGTGGGAAGAGAAAAGGCCTAGAAACTCTGGGGTGAGTAACATGTGCTGGATGGACAGACACATGAATGGACAGACGACAGACAGATGGAGGCATGAGGAGGTGAGTGGACAGTGGAAGGTGTCTCTGCCAGGAAATGAGATGGTGGGAAGCCAGGAAGAGTGGCCCCAGGCCTGGAAGGGACAGTGGGTAGCCAGGAAAGCTGCCGCCTGCCCAGGAGAATGAGCATGAGAGTTTCAGGGGCTGCTCCCGGGGAGGGGGCTGCTCAGCTCCTTTCTCTCTGCCTGGCTGTTGTGGTATCAGGCCCTCCCTTCCTGGGTCTCCCTGACTGCCCTCCTCCCAGAGCCCCTGGCCCTTCCTAGAGCCCCCTTCCTTCCCCACATGGAAACTCGTCGACCCCCTCCCTCCAAGTGGGGGCAGGGTAGGTTCTCATTACGGTCTTGTGGCGTCAGCGGTTCAGGCTGTTTCAGCTTCGGCAGATACCAAGACATGACAAGCTAAACCTGGGCCCTGTTCCCAGGGCAAACGGCCCTCACCCTGGCCTGGCCTTCAGCTACCTGGAGACACCAGTCTTGATGTCCCGACCAGAGCCCGTGTGCCCCCCCGACCGTGGTCCCCAGGAAAAGTACCTTCTCTTCATGATACGGACATGTGGGGTGTCCTCCTGTTTCAAGCCTGGTCGCCGCCCACAGGCTGGGCCACTCCCATCACTGTCACCATCACTGGGCGAGAAGCTGGGGGTCAGCTCCTTCTTTAGGACCCGTGCAGTGGGGAGGGCAACTGTCCTCTTGTCAGCCAGCCGCCCCCGGTTCTGGGCAGGGAGGGAAGAGAGGAAGGTTAGGCCGAGCCAGGACCCTCAGGCTCCTGGGAGGTGTGCACTCCAGGCCCAACCCTCCGGCAGCGTGCAGGTGACGGAAGCCCTCAGAGCAGCTGCTAAGATCAAATAGGCACCATCACTGGCCCCGCTACAGGGCTTCTAGCCCGCAGGACAGGCCCGAGGGTCCACATGGGTCCCAGTGGCTGGAGGTGAAGACAAGAGCAGAAATATGAGGCCTGGGTCTGCCACCCTGGAGGGGGGTGGAGTGAAGGGCTGTAGGCCCTGGCCAGGCTCCTGGTGACACTGCCTTGTCCAGACCCCGCACTCCAGCCTGAGTGTGGGGATGCCCACCTAGAGGCAGACCCCAGCTTTCCCGGCCCCAGGGAGCCCCGAGGGGCCATGTGTGCACAACACAGCATGTCTTCTGCCCCGTGTTCAACGTTCAGTTACCTCTGTGCTTGTGTCTGAGGGACCATCCCACATAGCTCCTGCGTGAACCCCCAACCAACGCCAAGTCCTGTCTTCCCTTCTGCTAGTGCCATGCAGGGTCCAGTTCCGGGTGGTTTGGAGCCTGAGTCTGGGGCCTGATCCTGCTAACCCCCTTGCAAACTGCAGGCCGGGGGTTCACAGATCACTTGCTGGGGAGCCCTTACCAACCTAGACCCTTTGTCCCATGGGCCCCGAGTGGGCCTACCCTCCGGGTCAGAAACAGAGGTTCTCTTTCTTCCACAACACCTCCTTCTCCCCTCCCTACACCCATGTTGTGAGTATGTGGAGCTCATGTGTGTGCTGTGTGCTGGGAGATCAGAGCAGGAAAGCATGTCTTGTGCACAGACATGGAGGGTACTCCACGCTGAGCTTGTTCGTGCTCAGAGCACATGCACACACCACACAAGGTCACTATACGCCACGGCTCCCTACAGTGTCCTTAGGTCCTGCTGCCCCAGTGAAAGAAGAAAAGTTACAGATTATTTTTGGGTGGGCAGGAACCTTATTCTTATTTAATAAAGGGTTGCTGTTTCAGGGAGGTGGCAGGGACCTTGGGATTATCTAATTCTTTCTCATCTCTCCAGTCACCTGGGGACCCTCGGACACCCTCTTTCCTGTTGCAAGGACAATGCCATCATACCCACAAGCTTGAGGAAAGTGTGGAGGAGGGTCTCGCCTCACCCTGGACCCGTGTCATCCTGGACCTCAAGGACTGCTATGCAGCCACCATCGTCCTGCCCTCCAGAATAAGGGTCCTTCCCTTCAGACCCAGCCCACCCCAGCTCCAGATTTGGGCAGTGGCCCCAAAAGGGCCAGGGAGCCCTAGTCTTCTCCCCTCACTGGGTCTGGGGACCACAAGCACCCCCCTCTCCAGGTCCCCCCCTGCGAGCCACAGTCTCCCCCATACTTGTCCTTATGAATCCACTTGGGACACCCTCCATATTCCTCTCTGCAACATACTCAGTGAGATACACCAGACAGCACTGGGGCCGAGTGGGGTGGGGCGATGGAGTCTGAGAGTAGGCCTGAGAGATGAAATGGCCCGCTTTGTGGCCCCTTCTGCGACCCTGGCCTTGGCCCTGTGCTCTAACAGCAGTAGCAGAGAGTGGGTGAGGCTGCAGGTGTGATGGCCTGTCTGGTCCCCGTGCCCCTCTGTGCCAGCTAGCGGGCTCCAAGGGGAGTGTTTTCAACAACCCCTGGCCTGTCTGAAGTGTGCACTGCTGGGAAGTCCCACTCAGGTCTGCCCTTCTCTAGCCTGTGGCCCAAGCACCAGGACCTCCTCTCCTGTCTTTCTGTTTTAATTAAACTATTCTCTTAAGAAGAAAAGGAAATGCATTTCCCTCTGCTTCTCATCTGTAGGACGAGGAGAGGAAAATGACAGCAGTAAGACTGCCACTTGGGATGAGGCCAGACGGTGGCTCTTGGAGGTGCTCCTGTGGGAGGGGAGCTGAGGACGAGGGACCGGGATGGGCAGCCCTGACCCCGAACAAGGACAGGGAGCATACTTTCCTCCTATGCACACGCAAGACCTCAACCACTCACCCCTGCTCAGCAGCACACAGATTTTAAAACTCTGTGACAAACCTCTGCTGCTAGTCAACCATTGGCTCCTCAGAACGCAAGGATGGGTACAGGAAAGCCATCTTGCATGGCTGCATGATCCCTGCACCACACTTGCATACCCACATTGTGCCCCTGGGGTATCTGTGACTGTGAGGTGTGTACGTACCTTCGGGCCTGGCTGTGGGGGATGGAGGAAGACAATCTCTATGTCGCAAAAGTGGGGGATGGAAAGACAAGGGGGTCTGTGTAGCTCCTTCCTAAGGGAAGGGTACAGGCATGGGCCTGGGAGGGACCAGGTTCAGGAGAGGCAGGCCCAGGTCTGAGGCATCCCTCATGCAGGGCAGGGACCCGGGAGCCCCAGACAGGTAGGCAATCCAAGGCTGTGGCCTCATCCCTGCCAGACCTCCCCACCCCTCCCCAATCCAAGCAATGTCCTGGGGAAACTGATACTGGGCTCACGCCATCTGTACCCCACACTCCTGTGAGAGACCTCTGGAAGGGTGGGTTAAGATAGGCTGGGCCCCTCCAACCAGAACAGAAACCCCAGGCTAGCCTTGAGGGTGCCCAGAAGACTCTTCTCCTGTACTAGCGGCTTGAAAAGGTGTGTTAAGTGGAGCAGGAGCTCAGCTTCTTGCCCCAGGCAGGTACCGTAGTAGCGGGTCAGAGGTGGGCTGCCTGTGCACGCACACTCTGATGACGAGCCCATGGCAGACAGGTGTGTGGGGTAGGTACACAGGAGAGGCATGGCTGTATCCCCGTTCCCCTGTCCAACTTGTGTGTCTGATCTGGTGTCTGTATTCACAGGTGTGTCTGTGGCTTCCCAGCCTGCGCAGGTTACCCGCCTCCAGGGTCCACGAGGAAACCAAAACATCCCTTCCTCCTTCCTACTTCCAGTCCAAAGTAAAGAAGCTGAAGGCGGTGTCTTGGGTCCTCTCTCACCCCTTCCTGTGTGAGGGTGTTGACGATGCCAGGGATAGCAGCACAATCCCAACCACCACCAGGAGCCAGGGCCCTAATTGGCTCTCCCCTAGCAGCTCAAAATTGGCTCCTCTCAAGATGCAATTTCTTCTTCAGATCAGTCCTCCAACTATTGCTGCCTGGAGGACATATCATGTGGAAGACAGTGCTTCAGAGGCAGGCCCAGCACCCCAATCTCTGCTGCTCCCCTAGGCCAAAGAGGGGGTCAATATACATCTACACTGGGTTGGGGGCCCTACATCAGCCTCCAACTCCAGTTCTTGACACCAAAGGCCCACACTGCTCAGATTCTGCCCCCAACTGGGTTGTATCCTGAGACTCTCCTGGACATTGAGGGCCTTGCCCAGCAGGGTTGTAGCTCTTGGCATACCAGAGACACATGTTGCTCACATCCAAGCTGTGACCACCCCAGGATGTACATCCAGGCCAGACAACAGTGTCACATCCCAGAACAAGTGTTACCTTAGGACCAGCCCCTCTCCCAAGCCAGGCCAGCTGACACAGTGACACCCCCACCCCCACCCAAGACCTGTGACAGGGCAGGGTCCCCAGGCCACAGGTGGATGGCACTGTCCAGGGAGGAGACCTTTACAGCCCAGGCTGTCCCCAAGACCTGAGAAGCAGCAGCTCCACGGCTCCCAAGGAGAGGCTCCCAGATAGACAATGGTCAGGTCCTGCGTCCAAAGAGGAGAGGGCTGCCCCAGGATTCCCACCCAAAGCAAAGTCTCCCCTATTTGCCCCGGGGGGCTCACTCCTGCACCCCGGCAGGGTTGAGGTTAGGCCTCTGGCTCCCAGAAAACAGGCACAGCCCCACAGGGGAGAAGGGAGAGACCCAAAGCCCCAACTTTTCTCCCACATCTCACCACCGGGGAGGATATTCGACAGCCCGGACAGTCGCAGATCGGAGGGTGCACCTGCAGAATCCCCTTGGACATAAGCGTCTTCAGACTTTTTCCTGTGAGGAGAGCCGAGGCAGGACCGGTGAGAGAGCAGGGACGGGGCACAGGTAGAGCCGGCACACAAGGGCGCGCTTTCGGGGCGCAGTAAGCTGCAAGGCCGGTTCCCCCTCCTGGCACGTGTATGAACATCCAACTTCCGAACCCGCTACCTGGCCCTGCCGTCCACCACACCCTCGCGGACGCCGCGGAGATCTGCAGAGCTCAGAAACTCAAGATCCCGGCAAGGGCCCTCCCCTGACCAAGGGCGGCCTCCTCCCCGCCCCCTGCGTCCCTCCTCCCGCTCTCTACCCTCTCTCCAAGCCGGTCTGGGGGAACTGGGAACAGGGTTCACGAAGGTCGAGCCTGCGCGCGGGTGAGCGGCGCCGCCGGGACCGGGGCTGTGCCTGAGCCCGCAGCGGGAAGAGGCCGACCACAGCGGAGCCGCGAGCCCCAAAGCCCAGCGCGACTGGGTCCCTAACTTTCCAAAGATTCCTCCACCCCCGCCCCTGTCGCTCACTGCGCTTCCCCCGCTTGCCTGTTCGGGCGCCCTCACAACGCGCCCTCGGAGCCAGACTCCTGAACGCTCCAAGCAGGCTGCTCCCAGCCCCGCCGCAGTTCCAGCTCCGCGCGCGCCCCCGCCCCGACGCGCGCCCCCGCGGCCCCCACCTGCCTACGACACCCCTACACCTTCTTTCCTTCCAGCAACTCGCACTCGCACCCCGGCCGCCCGTGTGCCCCTCTACTCCCGCTAGAACCTGGTGCCTCCCCGACCCGGGAGGGAAGTTGTGTCCCGCCCAGCCGGCCTTCCGCAGTCTCCCGAGTTCCCCTAAACTTCCCCTGGGCCATATGGCCCAGGAATCCCGCAAAGACCTTCCGAGTGGCAGGAGGGGCCAGCTCGTGTGCAGCCGGGAGCCCAGAGCACCGCGGCTCAAGCTGGGGTGACGGTGGAGGCCGAGAGCGCTCTGCTCGGGTCCACCGAGGCGACCGTGCTGGGGGCGGTGCGGGGAGGGGGGGGGAGTGTCCCTGCGGCAGCCCCAGAGTCGCAGCGCCCTCTCTGGGCGGAGATGGAGTCTCCCAGGTGGCAGAATGAGGGGGTCCGGACCCAGGGGTCCTCGGGGAGCAGAGGGGAGGGACCGTAGCGGCCTGCGCCCCCACCGCGGCCGCACCTTTGTGGCGGATGCTGCGCTTCCAGTCCTTGGCCGTCTCTCGGCCGCTGACGAACTGGAACTCGTTGGGTGTGAGCCACTCCCCGCGGTGGCGGATGGACGGACCCTTGCTGCCTTGGCAGAGTTTGCGCACGTAGAGCAGCGCGCGGTTGGCGCCGCACTCCACCTCGATGCACGGCTCGCCGTTGTCCAGCAGCGGCTGGAAATCCGGTGCTGCGGCCGCAGTGGCTGAGAAGCGCTCGAGGGCCAGAGGGTCCCGGGGCAGGTGGAGGTGCGGGGCGGCCTCGTGCAGGCTCAGGTAGGCGCGCGGGGAGCGGAGTGGTGGAGCCAACAGCGCCTCGTAGCCGGCAGTCGCGGCGGGTAGCGAGGCGGCCGGGGGCAGGGCGGCCGCAGCTGGCAGTGGTGTCAGGTAGCCTGGGAGCGGCGGCAGTGGTAGTGCGGCCAGGGTCGGATGGAAGGTGGCCAGAGCCAGGGCCAGGTCTTCGCGGCCTGGGAGCTCCTTCTTGACCGCTGGCATGACGGGCCGGTGGCCTTGTAGCCTGGCTCTCCGCCGCCGGCGCAACTTGTTCGGGCCTGGGCTGGAGTTGGGTCTCGAGGGCTGGGGGCCCAGGAGGCTCCCGGCCGCGCGCCCGCCCTACCCGCTACTGCGCCCCGGCACCTGCAGCCGCGCCGCCCGCCGGGCCACCACGGACCGCTTCTCGGCCGGCTGCCGGGGCCTTGGCTGCCCGAGACATGGTGCTGCGGGAGCTGCTATCGATCCCTTATCGACCTGCCGAGCGCCGCAGCCCCGGGGCCCCAGGGCTCCACAGGGCCCTGGGCCACCTGCGCCCGCGCCCCCTGGGGCGGCCCCGCTCGCTGGTCCGCCAGCAGGGCCCAGCCGGGCAGTGGAGTCCAGAAGTCTCCGGCCCTGCGCCCCGCCCCGCCCGGGGGTCCCAGGCCCCAGCCCCGCCTCGCCGCCCCGCCGCCCCGCCGCCCCGGCCGCGCACCCGCGTACACTGGCGCGCGCCCGCCCGGCAGGGACTTGGGAGACTCCCGCCGCCGCCGCCTCCGCCGCCGCCGCCGCCACAACTTGGCCCATTTAAACGGCCCCGGCTCGGCGGGCGGGCGGGCGCGGGCTCCAGCAGGGGGTGCGTGACGGCCGACTGGGCTCCCACGGCTGGCGGCGGGGGCGGTGGGACGGGGCTGCACCCCTGCCCCATTTCCGAGCGCGCGAGGGTGTGGGAAGGAGCGTATGCTAGCGAGAAACTGCGCGCACGGACCGCTCCATTGTTGAGGGAGTCATTGGGCGCAGCTGGGAGTCCCCGACTACACGTGGGGAGGGGGCGGGCCCAGGACCGAGAGTGGGCTCCTGGCGCAGGAGGGAATCTGTGATTAGGAGCGGCCCGCTGGCCTGGCGGTCCTGGGTAGGAGCGTTTTCACAGCGGCCGGGGGCGGTGGGCGTCAGTGTCGGGCGTGGGTGGTCTCCTCTGCATCTGCAGGGTGTGAGGCTGTGGGTTTGTGGTGTGTGGCCTCTGCAAATGCGTTGGGGAGGTTTCGTGTTCTGTGAACACAACAACGACGACGATTCTGTCAATTATTGCCGCCTTATTACTCTGCACTTTACACGCCTTAGTTCACTTGATCGTCTCAATATGAGTTTTTCTCATTATTGTCATCTTACAGATGGGGAGGGTGAGACCCAGAGAGGTGAAGTAACTCTCCTGATGTCATACAGCTGTTTTAAGTCCAGGCTCTCGGACTCCGGGACAAACAATATCTGAGCCCTGCCGTGGGGCAGGAAGGTGGGCTAGACGCAGTCTGGTTGAGGGATGGAGGATGTGGGGAGGAAGAGGGGCCGATGAGCGCAAGATTGCACACTTGAGCACATTTCTGTTCCCTAGTATGAGCCAGTCTGGGGAAGAGGAACCTCTCTACATCCATGTCCACTTTGGTGCCTTGAGGAAGCAGCTCAGCCTTGGCCCAGTCCAGGCATGAGGGTGGCTTGTCCCTTGGTGTCCAACCCCCATCTCCCTGCAGGCCAGCATGCCAGCCTTGCAGTAGAAGCATTAGGAAGAGAAACAGAAACCTACTAATAGCGGATGAGACAGGTTTGTCTTTCTCTGATGTGTTATTCTGAACAAGCTAGAAAGTAGCCTCAGATCCCATCCCAGCGCCTAGACCCCCACTGAGATGCATTTGGCAGGGCGTTCGTGTGGGCATCTCTCTGACCAGGCTCTGGGGGGTTGAGCTGGACCACAGGCGTGCTTGCATGAGCACCCTGTGCAAGGGAGTGAGGGAAGTGAGGGAGCACACCACCCTCACCCACCTCCTCCCAGGGCACCTGCACCAGCTGGGCATGAGCCTGACCATTGGCTACTGCTCTGCTTTCTCTTGCTGATGCACACTGCCAAGATCATCCGCAGCTAAGGCACCGGCCAGCCCCAGGACTGACTTGGGGAGCAAGGTCTGGGCTGAGACCAGGAACGTGTCTGGGAACCTATGCACCCAAACCTCTGTATCTCCCTTCTGCTCTACTCTTTGTACGTCTGCCTGCTGGGATTTAAGGGGCCAGGTGTGAATGTGGGTGTGAAAGTGAGTGATCCTATATAGTGTACCACCCTCAGCCCAGTTGCCCTACGTGCAGACTGGACACCTGCACATGCCTGACCCTAGGTGCACACTCACCTTTTGTGGTCCGTGTCTTGCTCTCAGGTGTGCTGCCTCCATGTCTAACGGATGCAGGAGGCTGTTCCTGCCCAAGAGCCAAGGCCCATGGAGGAGCCATTACGCTAATCTGTGGTCATGGCACAGTGTGGAGAGGTTATCAGGGCTCAGCGTGAGGCCAACTGTCTGGCTACAGCCCTGACACTGCTTTCAAAAGATGGTCCCCTCCACTCAGTTCTTCTCATGTTTGCCTGCACCTATTCACTGACCCTTAGGCCTCCTAACCCCTGACCTTTAAAGTGAGGTTTCAGGAGGGAAGGCTAGTGAAGTTTATCTCTAGATCTGAGAAGGTACCGTGTAGCCTGTGGAGGGGGCCTCCCTTCCCTTCTGCAGGACCACCCCTGACCCACCCCTGACTCCTGTCATCCTGAACAGGCCCACAGTGGTCAAGGAGAGGCAAAGAAGGCCCCAACTCTGGCTTTCAGAAGTGGGACCCAGCTGGCAAGGGAGGGGGGCTAAACTAACCTAGCTCACCCAGCCTAACCTCCATGTTACTATCTGGTTCCACCTCTCTCTGGAGGATCAAGGGGGCTTCCTAAAATGACCATGACTGGGTTCAAAACTCCTTCTCCTCCAAGGGCCACTCCCTGACTTTCAGGAGACCCCCTTCCAGGGCTTTGGCTGATCAGTTCACCCCTACGCCCACCCCTACCTGTTTCCCCCTCTTCATGGGAAATAGACCTCTCTGCCCACAGGATCAGAGTCACTTTCCCACAGGGATCAGGCATCCTTACTCCTGGGCATTATACCCCCGCCACAAGGATCTGCTCACTTTCTCTCTCCTGTCCACCTGTGTCCTGGTTTGGCACCTGGTAGCCCGTGCGCTCCTCTGAGCTTCTGACTGGAGACAGAGGTCAGAAGGGACAGAATTTTGGCTCTAGAATCTCCCCTCGCCTGGAGTTCAGGCCTGGCGGCACCCTCCTTGGGGAAAGTAGGTGGGAGCGGCGGCCAAAGCCCCGCCTCCGGCCCTCAGAGGCCCCGCCCCTTTATCCCTCGCGGCCACGGCGGCGCGCCATCGCTGCTCGCGGTCCCCCCGCTGGGGGCCCTCTGCCGCTGGGCCGAGGCCGGAGCCCCCGCCGCGGCCGCTGCCGCTGCCGCGGCCGCCGCCGCCGCCGCCGCCAGGGAGGGGGAGGGGGTCATAAATAACCCGCGGGGCGGCGCGGCCCAGGCGGTGCAGACGGTGACCCGCGACGTCCCCGGGGAGCTCGCGGGGGCGGCCCGCAGACCCTGCTGCCCCCAGCCCGGGCTCGACCAGCCCTGACCGCCTCTTCTGGAGCTATCCGACCTAGTCCACCACTGGCGCTCCTGCCAGAAGCCTTCCTCCCATCCTGGAGTGCCTGCCGACCCTCATCTCCAGACTGTGCCCCTTAGAGCCCCTTTTCATCCATTCCTTCACCATCAATCATTTACTGAGCACCAGCTGTGGAACCCCAGGGAGAGGGAACCAGAGGTGAGGCTGGGGGATGCAGAGGAAAGCAGTATGTCTCTGAGATCACAGGTGCATCCTTGGGCCTGCTCCCTCAGCCTTAGTCTTCCTGAGCTCATCCAGGGTGACTGTCAGGGTGGGAGAGCAGGCCCGGACATGCCAGGCACAGGAAGGCACGCAGGGACAGACCGCACAGGTCTGAGCACACTGACACATCTGTGAGGAGGCACATCCATGTCCTCAGGCAAGCACCCAAAGCCAGCAACAGATACATACAACAGGGCGCATTCTCAAAAGCACACGCACGGCAGCTGGGAGAGCTGCACGCACAGGCGGGGGGGCGTGCACAGGTGCTGACATCCTGACCACAAACAGGCACAGACAGTACATGTGCTCACTTACACCACAGCCAAGAGGAAAGACACCGGGACCTGTGCAAACACATCCGTGGGCACACAGGCCTGCAGCGTGAGCTCCAGGTGGACATAGCTGTCACATCTAAGACAGCATGGCTGTGGCAAGGGTCTGGTTTAGGAAGGGTTAACCTGTGAGGTCAAAGGTCAGTGGTGAATCAGCTGGGGCTCCCTCAGACTCCCTGCAAGAGTGGCCAGAGCTTCCGGGAGGAATGTGTCTGTTTCCAGCTGCAGGTCAGACACAGGAGGGGCTTGCCCCTGCTAGGACATGCCTTACCTTTGGCCAGCCATGAGCTGGCTGCAGGCCATGCCATCTGTCTCAGGAGTAGAGATGTTTCTGAGGCCAGTCTGTTCACTGACCTTAACATATGCTATTTAAAGGAGAAAGAGATAGGACCTAGGGCCAACCTTACGTTCTCCCGTGGGTGTGCAGACTTGGGGCACACACAGGGCACACGCTGCCAGAGCCCTGGTTACATGACATTCACCTGCTGTGTTACACAGAGGTTGACACACACATATACTTTCTCAGACACAAACACAATGACACAAATGAGCTCAACACACAGGGTGCACTGGGTACACTGATGTCGTACAGAGGAAGTTGTTGGTCTGGCAACATGGGTTGGAGTCTGGCTACCGCTGGTTCTG